TTTCATGATTTGGTCAAGTTGTCGATTTGAAAGTCACTTTTACTTGGCCGACAATGGCCTGTAAAACACGACAGTCCAGGGCAATGTGCAGATATCGTTAGCATAATCTGGCGAGGGTGTTTTCGAATAACGGACGTGTCGACTCGTGTGCGCCGATTGTTTTGAATCAGAATCTGATTCACGAATGAATCACTCTTTTAATTTATTTCAGTGCATCTAACAAAAACGTTTAGCAAAACTGTGTGGCTCGTTTTGACTTGACACTTTTACATACACTCGACCATGCTAAAGTTATCCGGGACGCCAAGTTGGAACCTAAGGTCTGCCGGTGCGGGACACTTAAATGTTAGGAGTAGTCTATTTCATCTAAAACCGATCAGGTGGAAATAAAAACTGCTTACCGACTCGAACTTGGACTTTATTTGTCTTTCGGAGACCTGGTTAATAAAGTCATCTGTGACGCTGTGATCCATGGGAAATCAATCAAGTCAGAAAGCAGCAGCTGTGCTCCAGGGAGCGATGGAAAAAATCTAAGATTGGATGATAGCCTACAATCGACATTAAATTTTAGCAAAACTGTCAGCATGTTTTTTTTTTTTCAATAAGGAATACATCTCATGCTGTGCTGGAAATTAGTGTTAAAGGAACAATGATTCAAGAAGCAGAGTCTGTAAGTATTTAGGCGTTGTGTTGGATAGGACACTGTCGTTTAAAGAAAGCATGTTTCTAATTATTTTTTTTATTATTATTATTTTTTTTTTTTTACGCAAGTCGCAATTCAGATACATTCACCCCCAAATGGGCACAGACGCAGAGCAAGTGCTATATGTATGCGATGATATTTGTATGACAGCCCACAGCTTGTATAAACAGGCACTTAAAATTTTTGATTAAAAAAAAAACTGTTTCATATCACTACTGTGACATTGTGAAGAAATATAAATGATTAACTTTTGAGAATTTTGTTTTGTTCTCAGGTGTCAATTTAGTATTAGCATTCTTCATGATCTGGACCCTCAGCCCCTGAGAATGTTGTGTGAAATCTTGTGAAGAGGCTGGACTTAGAACAACGCGAGCCTCCTCTAGAGGAGATTGTTAACTTGTCAACTTTAAGTCCTCTTGCTTTGGACAGAATTGCTTCTCTGTGAAAGCTGCAGGGATGTGGAATGTGTTTCCATTAACTGTTCGTGCATTGCAACAGTTTAAACTTAATTTGAAGAAGTGGTTTAAAGACGGTCAGATTTGTGAACATGAACACAAAATTGGTTAATTGGCGTATTTTTAAAAATGCAAGAAGGCAATATTAAAAGAAAAGAAAGAAATGAGAATTATACTGTAAATATTGCAATCTCATGTGTGTTGAGGTGATCCTTTTGCTGGTGCTGCATCTGTATTTTATATTGAAAATTAATTAATTAGTAAAATGAATAAAAATGCTGTCATTTTGCCTCTGCCTGGGGACTGCAGATGAAAAATCTCTGTCTTGTGTAACACATTTGTTGTACAGTGTCCCTGTCAAATAAACTAATAAATAAATAATAAATAAATAAATTCTCCTCAAATCCTCATATCTCTTTCCAGGTTCATTTTCACAGGTGAATTTATAATCTGTCAAAATGACGGAAATCACTTTGATATAACGTCAGTGTCACGTAATGCTGAAGTTGGACATTTACATTTATTCATTTTGCTGACGCTTTTATCCAAAGCGACTTACAATTGCTATATATGTCAGAGGTCGCACGCCTCAGGAGCAACTGGGTGTCTTGCTCAGGGACACATTGGTGTCTCACAGTGGATTCGAACCCAAATCTCTCACACCAAAGACATGTCTTATCCACTGCACCATCACCACCCCTTAGACATTTTTGATTGTATGTTTATATGGTGTTTTTCATACGCTTTAAGACAAACCATGAGCAAATTTATGTTAACACCATTTCTGAGCATTTTCTCTTTAAAACTGCAGTGATCTCAAGACTACGGAACAATTGCAATTATCGCAATTGTTTTTCCCCTTTTATTAAATACTTTTTACAACCTACTTTTTCCATGATAACAACTCTGAGTTCTCTCCTATAATGCCTGATGAGTTTGGAGAACAACTGAGTAGAGATCAGAGACCATTCCTCCAACAGAATCTCTCCAGATCCTTCAGATTCCCAGACCCATGTTGGTGCTGCTTCTTCAGTTCAGCCCACTCATTCTTTTATAGGGTTCAGGTCAGGGACTGGGATGGCCATTGCAGATGCTTGGTTTTGTGCTCAGAGACCCATTTTGGTTTTGATGTTTGTTTTTGGATCACTGTCCTGTTGGATGATCCAAACATGGCCTGTTATAAGATTTCTAGTTGAGGTAGTTGAGGTCAGGTTTTGATTTTTGTTTCTGTTGGTATTTGATTATGACGCCATGTCTCTGAACAAGGTTCTGACAACCTTATATCATTCCATTGCTGTCAAATTTTAAATAATTTGATTAAATATGAACAGTTTTGGAATTTTTTGGTAATTTCACATTCTGGTGAATAGGGGCTATACTTGTATGTATGGCTAGAAAATAGACTGCAGGAGTCATTAAGATGGCCGCTTGAGTGAACTGACTTTACCTGAACTCAAGCTTATTGAGACACTGCCAGAACTGCCAATTAATATGTGCTTCAGCCAAACAGACTATGATAAGGTGTTAATGGAGCACACTAGGGAGTATCAGAATACAGCATTAACCTTCTGAATACACACACCAAGTCTAGTGGGAAGAGTATCTAGCGTTAAATCCCTCCTTGTCTCTACTCTTTTCGATAATGCTAATTAACATCTTTTAGCTGAGCTGATCCCAGGAAACATCAAAGGTTACGATTAAATTATCACAATTAGTCCACTGAAAGTCATTATCCAGCGATCATCCTAAATATCAATCATGGGAATTGAGAAATGGGGGGAGGAGAGATGGGTGGAGAGCCGTTAGGGCGTCAAACAATGCAGTAGAGACAAAAAAATAGAGATGGAGATGAAAGGGAAAACTGGATGCTCATAATCTGATATATTTGCTAATTTGTGATGATGGTTCTTCGCCTCAACTAATGCCTCAGTGACATGGGAAGACTTGTACAGGAATGAAACATTCACACTGGATCTCTTCAGAGCAACACACAAATCAGTGTGTGAGTACTGAAAAGAATCCACTGGCTGCATCCGAAATCGCAAAATAGTACTAGGTGAAATATAATATAATATATATTATTATTATTAGGTGAAAAACAGTACGTGACAAAAGAAGCATGTCCGAATTCACAGTAGGCCTACTCTCCAGTCTGTAGGCAAAGGGTATCCGGATGACCTCTTCCGGCGAGATTCTGATATGTACATACAATGGACACTTTATAAGGAGAGGATTTATAAATGGCATTGAAGTGACATAACTGACACTGTGGTCACATGGTAGACGAATGTAGTTTGCAACATCCAGATTACTTTCACATATGGTAGAGTGGGGGGAAATTGAATATCCCCCTCAAGGACTGTAATCTTTCCTCCATTAATTCTAACCTGTACCTCATCGTGATGTGGGGTGAAAACCAAGTAGGGGATTGCTCATTGAGGCTAAATCACCAGTGAAGCCTGGGGTGAATGGAAGGATGACCTCTGTGGTGAGTCGTCAGGTTCCTCATGAGCACTAACAGACCGGTGAATTGAATTGCTCAATAGTCTATACTGCTCGATTACATCATTCATTTCAGATTGAGATTTTGTGAGCTCTTATAATTGAAATAGAAACACACATCAATCTTGCTGTCTGTGGAGTGTTGTGATGAAGTAAGAAAAAGCATTGAACTATCTCTTGCCTGAAAAGAAAGAGGTATATAGGGTCAAACCAAATATAGTTCAACCTCCATGAAACAATGTGTTGACAGCATGTATTCATTTGAACTGGAGGAACTGGAAAGCTTGTCATTGTCAACCTGAATGAAACCAAATACAGGTAAATCCTTATTGAAGAGCTTGTTTCAGTCAGACAGAGATCTGCAGGATAAAGCCCGGAAGGGTTCAGAAGCAGTTACATTGTGAATAACCTTACATTCGGGTGTTGGCTGGTTAATTAATCTATCAGCACCAGTTTTTTGTGAAATGGTTGGACTGCTGGGTGTGTAATATAAGAATATGTAACTATTATCTTAACCATATGATGTGCGGAACATCAGGCTATTTCCACAGCATTAGATCCTTCCATCAAAGCTTAAGGTAGGTTTCATCCGGCTTTTTCCTTTAAATTAATGAAGTACTTTTCTCTTGGATTTATGGAGGGCTATTATCATGCTGCACTGTTCCATTTGCTGGGAGTAAAATTTAATTTCTCACTGCCATATAATATTCACCCTCTACACTGGCCTTCATTTAATGAGTATTATTACTATTCAAGTAATATTTTTTATTTTACACAGGCTTTTTGCTTACATCCATGGCCTTCATTTAATGAGTATTATTACTATTCAATTAATATATATATATTTTTTTATTTTATACAGGCATTTTGCTGACATCCATGGTTTGGGCTGCCCTAAAGTCTGCTGCAACTGTGGTCCGGTCCTAGAGAAGAAAATAGGTGTTAGGCCTATGTGCAGCTGAAATATTATTCTCCTATTGACATTGTTTCTCTTCATTCACTTCTTGACTGCCAGTTATAGTGGAATGCAACAAATGGTAGTTTTACACCTTATTTTATAATATACCTTTAATTTATACGTCTTCCAAACTGATGGTCCCATGTAAGGTCTCTGGAATACTGGAGCTTATCCCAGCGTCTCAGGTCATAGATTATAATGACTAAATGACTATATAGGTGTCAAATCAACTTTAATCCTGCTGTCTTGTCCTGTCAGCATCAGCTCCACAGCACCACTTTATGATTAACTAGAGTAAGACAAACATATCAGTGCTCAACAGCAACCACACAAATATCTGAATATTGACAAAAGTTGTAAAATAAAGGCACAACAAAAACAATTGTAATAGAGATCTCTTTATTATAGTGCATTTATCAGATGTTACAAGATGGGTTTTAAAAAAAAAAGAGCTAAAACAAAAACCATTTCAGTAAAAGAAAAAAAAACATCTGCACACATTCCTTCCTCCTATTATTTTACAGATTTTTTTGAAATTAAAGCTTCACATCTGAACATAGGATAGCTAAATGAAATCCGAAAGCTAAATACATTTTCATACTCAAGTCCATACACTTTAATTACTTGTCATAGATGATGCTTATTCAAATAAATCTATCTACTACAGTAGATCTGTATCATAACTAAAAGGCCAAGGAAAACATTATTAGAGTTATGAAACATGAATTTTGGTGACAGACAAAGGGGAAAGAAAACAAATGAATAAAATGCATTCATGTTGCCATCAACATCAGCTATCCCTTGTGAGAGGTCATCACAGGGGTCGGACCACTGGGATCTTTACAGCCGAATACTCGATGCTGTATTCAGCACTGCAGGTGCCTTTGGAATATGAAGGGAAGCAAAGCGTTCGTCAGTTTTGGATTATTAGGCTGTGTGTACACGTTCTCAAAGCGGACATCTCTCTGCTGGTGCTTGTTTCTATCAGTGACATGTTTCGAAATGGACCGGTGAGTCAGGTAGAGCAGCCATCAACAGATGAAGAGAAATGAAGGAAAAAAGAAATGTGAAAAGTGGAAGAGGGAGGACTATAGCAGGCTGGAGGAGTTTGCATTGTGACCTGCAGCTGTACTGTATTTCTATCACACAAAGAGAAGCATAGAGACAAACACTGGATCTTGTTGGCGACTCTGGATCAGCTGCAGATTTGGATGTTAAATCAATATATCATGGATCTCATTTTCAAATTACAACAAGGAAACCAAATGCACCCCAAAAAGCCCTTAGCGGCCTCACCAGAACACATGCGATTCTGACTGTACAGATGATGCAGGACACCTTGAAAGAGACCGTAATAACAACAAAAATAAATCACAACAATAAAAATAAAGAAAAAGAGCTAAAAGAAGAATCACTGGAGTGGGAGCAGCTCACAAAAGGCCTTGCTGCACCAGCAGAAGGCGCTCACTCCCTCCATACTCCCACAAACACTCGTCACTTCTGCAGTCGCCTCATACATGCCAATCGAAACACACACGTAGGACTGTTGGTTAGTGTCTGGGATCTGACTGGATGATCACACTACAGCAAGATCCAAGAAGGCAGACACACAGGGTCACATGATTTCTTCCCCACAGGCAAAAGTTTAAGACGTTTTACAAGCTGACTTTGTGTAAACAAAAGATTTCACAGGCTTGTGCTTGAATGCGCTTGACTGAGGACAGCAGTAAGGAAAGCGAGCTGGTGTTCACATGGAGAGCGTCATGTGACGTACCTGAAAGCGTTAGCATGATTTTCAAATAACGCGAAGAAGAATGGATGAAAAACAAATGTCACTTTATTGTCTGATTTTTTTTTCCTTCTTTTTTCCCAACCTGATGCAGGTTACAATGAGTTTTATCAAATGTGGGGTCAAAGGATGGCAACTCACACCTTGTAACATTTTAGTCATGCGTGATTGCTTTAAACATTGGGAAAGGGAAAAATCAGGCCTATAGTCGGGTTTCAGTGTATTAGGTAACAGAAATATTTAACATCCTGGGTCATTCTTTGCGTGCAGAAAACCACGGGGAGAGGAGGGAGAAAAGAGAGAAAGAGAGAACCGTGCTGTACGCCGAGTGTCTATTTTGAAAGGCACAGCAAGGCTACTCCCACCCTCAGTTCACTCACACACACACACACACACACTTACACTTGCATGTGTATTTTAGACAGCACTGGGCTAAGTCTCTGATGTATACAAGACTGGACAAGAGAAAGATATGAATAAACTGGGCGAGACTGAAACTAGTGCTGTCACCCTTTACACACACTCATACACACACAGCGCTGACAGAAGAGAGGAGAGGGTGGAATGGATCATTTAGCGTTTTTGAGCTGGTTGGAGAGCCAGTCGAGCCCTTCATACAGGCCATCCCCGCTTGTGGCGCAGGTGGCCTGAATGTACCAGTTACGATGACGCAGGGAATGAAGGCCCAGCTTATCTGTGATCTCGGCTGCGTTCATCGCATTGGGCAGATCCTGTAGGAAACAGACGGTAAGAACGATGCAGTCAGTTACTGAGCTTAGTAAAAGCAGTTCTCACTTTTAAAGATGTTGATTCATAAAAGTCAGGATCGAAAATGTGTTTGTACAATGCTGACCGTCACTTGTGCGAAATCCTTCAAAACAACGGCATTCATTTAAAAGTGAAAATCCTTTGTAACAATGTATTCATTGTTGCTTGATACATTTAAAGCAGTACTGTATGTAAGCAAAATCGATACAAGTGAAATATACCCAACTTAGTCTGAAACAATTAAAATCACAACTGGATGAATAGCTTGTGAACCAAAATCAAATCAGGAAAACAGTATTGATACCCAGACCAATCAAAGACACAGTCATACATAATGTCAGCCATAGCTGAAGACTGAAAACAAACCCAATAAATACTGGGGCGGCTGATGCTCCTTGGGTTTAGCAAATTATGTTCTGCGCTCTCTTACCTGTTTGTTGGCAAAGACCAGCAGCACGGCATCCCTCAACTCGTCCTCTGCCAGCATCCTCGTCAACTCCTCTCTTGCCTCGTTCACTCGCTCCCTATCATTACTGTCCACAACAAATATCAGGCCTGTGAAAGAGACAGTGGGAGACTGAGTATGTGCATAAAGGGATTAATCCACCCAAAAATGAAAATTCTGTCATCATTTACCCTCAAGTTGTTGCAAACCTGTATGAGTTTCTTTCTTCTGCTGAACACAAAGGAAGATATTTTGAAGAACGATTGGAACCAAACAGTTGTGGGGCACCATTGACTTGCATAGTATTTTTTTTTTCTACTATGGAAGTCAATGGGTCCAGTTAACAGTTTGGTTCCATTCGTTCTTCAAAATATCTTTGCAACAACTTGAAGGTGAGTAAATAATCACAGAATTTTCATTTTGGGTGGAGAATCCCTTTCAGCGTTGCTTGATACCTGGTACTCTGCGTGTATGCATAGACACTGACCTTGTGTGTTTTGGAAATAATGCCTCCAAAGCGGCCGGATCTTATCCTGACCGCCTACATCCCACACTGTAAAGCTGATGTTCTTATACTCTACCGTCTCAACATTAAAACCTGCACAAAGAGAAGGGAGGCAAGTTAAATAAACATTGGCACAAAGAAACAGGGGCAGAAGGAATGAGGGTGACAAGGCATGAACTGGTCTTGTCTCACATTGGGGCCCTGCTCTAATAACACTATAGCCAGAGGGTAAAAACGTTTTGCCAGAGAGCAGAGAAAAAAGGATAAGACTGGACACACAATGATGGAATAAGAGGGGAGACAGCTAAAAGTAGAAAAGAGGTTTTTTTCCTAAACGCAGGAAAACTTGTCTGTCTCTGCAAATTAAAGTCTCTAACGTCTGAATTGATTGATCTCGCATCTGGTTGGTTGATTGATGGCTCACAACTATTCATTGATCATTTTTCAAATGCCAAAGGAAAAAAAGGAATATTTATAGAACCAAATCCACTGAAAAAAGGGCTGCATTCATGAGCCGTATACATGTTGCAAAACTAGCATACCTCACACCACAAGAGTGAGCAGTGAGTATTTTTTTTTTTCAGCGTGCATATTAACCAATGAGTGCTTTAACACCAGGAGCAGAAGAGTCACGTGAGCGTTTTATAGATGATTTACCCATTTAAACTTGTTTTTAATTATTCAGTTTGGGTGAAAGTGTGGTGTATTATAAAAAAAAAAAACTAAATTAAACTAGCCAGAAAATATGCCATATAAACTTTCTTTTAGTTTATGTAATACAGACAGGTATAGGCTAGCACTACCCAAATCAAACCCGAGTGTGCATTTGCTGTCTTGTAAACATATCGAAGTATGACTGAAACGACAAGGTTTTTCTTGGTTGTGTTTGTTGTTGACCATTTACATGCGAATGTTGTACACCTCCCCATCTTAAACTTTCAAGACCATTAATTTGATAAATGATCAACTTCTAAAAACAAATTTATAGTTGTCTTTGAAAAGAAATGCTTGCTTATATGTAGCCTTGGAGCCGATGCTGTACAAACGCTTCTAATGTGAACACTCTCGCACAGCTGCAGTAATGATGAAGTTACGCTGACGCAAAGCTCAAGCTTGCCGTGTGAAACAGCCATTACTCTTAAATATGACTGAGAAACAATGAATAGTAAATGTAAAAAAAACCAAAAACAAACCGATAGTGGGGATGGTGGTGACTATTTCTCCCAGTTTCAGTTTGTACAGGATGGTGGTCTTTCCAGCAGCATCCAAGCCCACCATCAGAATTCTCATCTCTTTCTTCCCAAAGAGATTCTTAAAGAGGCCTGCAAACATGTTCCCCATGGTGGCGGATCTGCGGGGAAGAATAGAGAGGGTAGATATAGGGTTATAGAGCAAGCTAAACATATAATTGAGGATGGTGACAGTGGTAAAGATCAAATAAATTTAAAAAGTGACTTGAACCCTTCAAAGGGGTGATTCTTTAGCAAAGCACTTAGCCAAGTTACCCTGTTTCAGATACAGGCATCTCATAATCTGTGATGGGAATAACGGCATTATAAATAAACAGTGTTACTAACAGCGCAATTTTTTTCAGTAACGAGTATTCAAACTAATTACTGTTTGCCCTGTTACAACACTACGGTTACTGACAATAAAATGCAGCGTTACTATAATTGAGCTCACTGAAGTGGTTTTCATCCGAGTAGTGTTGTCAAAAAACTCGGTACTTCGGTACCAAGTCGGTACTAAAAAAAAAAAATGTTACAGTACCAGCTTTTCTAGGTACCGAGTACCAGGTTAATCCAGTTCTGTTCTAGACGCGATGTCTGAAACGTGCACAGTTGCGTCCTCTTTATAACGCTGATATGGCTCTCTCTCTCTCTGAATCCACTTGTTGAAACGAAAGGAGGAAAGAGCCACATATGGAAATATTTTGGATTAGGCTAATGTCACGTTGCCATAAGAGGCCGATTACATGCAAATTCGCAATTTCAAATATAGGCGCGATTCAAGCGCGCTCATAATAAAAACTCGTTGGCGTTGCATAGCAACGACAGACGCCGCGTGAGAGCAAGCGCTTTGGAAAGAATAAGCACGCGCAAAAATATAATTAAAAAACACGCGCGACATGTGAACGGCCTCTAAAGTGCTTTCGGGGTAGTTTTACGAGTACATGAGCACAGTAGTATCCACCCGACTCCAGAGTAGGCTACTGGTAATAGTATTGTCATTTAATGTCAGTGCCAGTTCTAGGCGTATTCTTGCCTTTATAACTCAGCAGGTTTAAAAAGCCTTTTTAAAATTAAATATGAATGCAGTTTTAGATTAAATAAAAGGACAGTCAAGTCAAATAAAACATGTTTTATGGTAATGCTACAAAGATACCATTCATCAACATTACTTAGTTATCAACACATTGAGTGAACAATATATTTTTACAACATTAATTAATGTTTGAAAATGTTATTTATTACAAACACCTGATTGTTCATGTTTGTTCACTTAATTCATTGTGCATTAAATTAATAATAGATTAAAACTTTACAAACAACTTTAAAAATGTGTTAGTGTATATACTATTGTTTATTTTAGGTCATTTTATCTAATCTTTTTCTAAAGTGTTTATAATACAAATGTACAGTTAGTTTCCATACTTGTAACCGTGATAAACACTTAAATATATGTAAATTTAAACTAAGCTTTGGTACCGAAATTGGTACCGAGAACCGTGAATTTTAACTGGTATTGGTACCGAATACTGAAATTTTGGTACCGTGACAACACTACATCCGAGTAAGCTCTTCCTTATCGCCGGCCTGGACAAAAGTGAAGCAAACACTGCGAGAGCGCTCGACAGCGTGCGAGAGAACCAGAGGGTGCCAGAGCATCATATAGTTTGTATATAAAAAAAATTACATGTTTCAGCATTAGTATAATCTCTGTAGCCTATTGGCATCACCTGCAACATTTTAAAAACTAAAAATAACAGGGAACTTTCTCTTTAGGTTATAAATTCAAAATCAAAAATAACCTGCAGGAAACGTTTCAAGAAAATATCTTTGTTTGATGATAACCTCTGATGATGACGTAAAAATAAAACCCAAATATTATATTATTTATTTTTGGAACACTGTTCAGTATTATATTGAGAGCACATCTTGTTTAAATGTTTACTTTTGTGAGGAAGAAAATACTTCAAGTAGGCTACAGTATATCTAGTTGTGACGTTATTTGTTGGCCTGTCGTGGCTGTGCAATAAATATTAAAAGTTCTAAACCATCTATTGTGTTTAATTGTTCCACTATAGTAGTGACAAAATTTTAAATAATATATTGAATTTAACAGGTGTCTCTTACATTGTCCCACAGCAACATCCATTTTTGTCATATTCTATGTAGTGTCCATTTAATTAATTTAACATATTTAATAAACTAACGGAATAGTTACTTTCCCTGGGAAATAGTTCCTTTTTTAAGGTAACTCAGTTACTATTTGTGAGAAGTAACTAAATTACTTTTTAAAGTAACATGCTCAAAACTGCTGATAAATAATTACAAATTATTCAAGTTATTTGAAAGAAATTAATGTTAATGATGTTTAATGTGCCATGAATGCAGGTTATGCTTGAACCAGAACTGACTCTGGGTAAACAAGTATAGTTCAAAGCTGATTCACATGTGAAGAGAGAGGAGGGGGGAGAGTCACAAAGAAACAAAAGGCTCAGTAATGAGGTGAATGCAAGATTCCACCAGTGGAAAGAAGAGTACAGGAGGTAACCAGACACCTGACAAACCTGTAAGAGACACCTGCCCTCTAAATTAATCAGAATAATGGGGGAGGGGGAGAGAGGGAGAGAGGGAGAGAGAGAGAGAGAGAGAGAGAGAGAGAGAGAGAGAGAGAGAGAGAGAGAGAGAGAGAGAGACTGGTCACCATCGATCGAGTTACACTCTGATCCCAACGTAAGAGATAAACTACAGTTTTAGACAATGAGACCACTACATCCCTATTCAGACCAAAGACAGTCAATACATCTCTCTTATCTTGTGTCTAACATGTTGAAGACTCTCAGAAACTTAACAGCCAACCATAATAATGTCAGATTTTTGTTTTCGTTAACTTAACTTGTCAATCTGTTTTAAAACCTGTAGTGTTAGAAATGTATACAAGTGAAAATCTGCTAAAGGGTAACTATAGCCACGTACACACTACAGCTAAATTTGGTTGTCTTTTTTAAAATCGGGGGTCAATCGTGAAATCGGGTTAATCGCTGCATTCCTAATGCGGACTTTGCGGAGTGTATTCATCGACAGAAACATACATTAGCGGAACTCTGTCTGTTTTACATTTTGAATTTTTCAACAAACCAGACAATAAATGCATGGGTTTGTAAAATCTTGTGTTACCAAGTCAACGACAGCATTTGTATTACATTCCAAAGAGCTGCATTATCAGTCCCACAGTGGAAAATTAATATCCAGCTGGGCCAGATCGACAAAGGAATGGTTAAGCAAAGAAAATGGTTTGGCCTCACAGTGGAAAAGCGGCTATAGTTTATGCTTTAAACAAATGCAGCAAACGTATAGGAGAGACTAAAACTGATACCACAGATTTACTCTCATTGAAATGAATGGATGAATGAATTATATGTATTTCACTCATGATTCAATTGTAATTCCATTGTGAACAATAACATGCATCAAGATGTCTAGTGTATTGTCAGGTAGTTAGTGGTAAATTTGTGCACAAAAATAAATCAAAGACTATAGTAGCCGAAATAATAAAAGCAAGTTTGTTCACAAGTAATTAACGATCTGAAGGAATGTACTCTGTCTGTCTACTGAGTCTAAAAGTCACAAAAGCTAGGTGCTAAAAATGGTGTGAGAACACACCCACTAAGATAATGAGAGCAGTGTCCTTTGGGTAAAAGAACAAGAGGTGGGTCTTTAGAATGCAGTGACACCAGAGTTGAAGTCCCAAAACAACAAAACTACTACATTATCAACAACTTGGAAAATCACCATTTTTGTTAAAAAAAAAAAAAAAAAAAAAAAAAAAAAAAAGGTGCTACACAAAGGGCCACATCCCTGCTGCAAATACAGGGAAGAAGTGCTACAAAAAAAACTAATTCTGTGACATATTTCCGCGCTTGACTCACTGACCAGTCATAAGGGTAGCATTATGGTCAGTGTATGTTTTTCAGATAAAGAAAGAACAGGTAAGTAAGGTTTGTGAAATAATGGAGGAGAAAGGACAAAGACGTAAATTCAAATAGAAAGATTTTTTTTAATCTGCCATACGTCAGTCACAAATTAAGCCGCATCAATTATTCAAGGAACCAAAGTTGAATTATTGAATAGAAAAGGGTAAAATGAGAAGCTCTTGCTAATGTTGTTGTAGTAATCATAACTGCACACTAATCTCTGTCTGGTGTAAATAGAACTACAACATTACACACATACTAACCCCTGGTTTCACAGACAAGGCTTAAAGTACTAGCTAACTTCAAAATGAAAATGCTGTCATCGTTTCCTCCCCCTCAAGTTGTTTCAAACCTGTATGAATTCCTTTCTTCTGCTGAACATAAAAGATATTTCGAAGAACCAAATTGGTAACTAAACAGTTGATATTTTGTTCCTACTTTAGAAGTCAATGGGTTACATCTACTGTCTGGTTACTGTCGTTCTTCAAACTATCGTCTTTTATGTTCAGCAGAAGAAAGTTATTCATACAGGTTTGAAACAACTTGAGGGGGAGTAAATGATGACAGAATTTTCATTTTGAAGTGAGCTATTCCTTTAAGGAAGTCCCAGACTAAAATGAATGTTTGATTTATTTTAACTTGCACTGATATATCTTAAAATATGTCAGTGCAATCGTTTTGTTTCAAGATATATATTTTTTTTCCTAAGGCATGTTTATAAAAGCTAGTTGCAGGGAAAAAAATGTAAATTAGCCCATGATTTACTCAACCCTCCTCAAGCAATCCTAGGTGTATGACATTCTTATACTATAGTTACTATTATACTGGAGTTATATATAAAAAAAATGTCCTGGCTCTTCCAAGGTTTATAATGCCAAGTTTGCTGGAAGATAGTTAAGTCCATAAAGTTTTAAACATAGATATTTTTCTTATACGAACGCATCACTATGCTTTGAAGTCCATCAAAGCAATTTGATGGACTTCAAAGCATAAACTACCATTATAAAGCTTGGAAGAGCGGGGACATTTTTTAACATAACTCCGATTTAATTCATCTGAAATAGGGTAGGGCGATGTAAAAAATATTTTATTGATATTGTGCTCCGTTCAAACAGTCGGTGTGGCGCGCGCGATACAAGAGCGGCGAGGGAGAGAGACTGCATGTGCGCCTCATGAAGCGCATGTAAGAAGCGCATGTTCCATGTAAACAATCCCCGTGACGTAATCAGACCAACTAATCGATAATGACATTCGTTGACAACGATTTTCATAATCGATTATAATCGATTTTATCGATTAGTTGTTGCAGCCCTAGATTTAATTCATCTGAAATAGGGTAGGGCGATGTGTAAAAAATATTTTATTGATATTGCCTTAAAAATATCACGATATCCAATTATAGCTCTACCCAAGCCCCATCCCCAACACGCCCAGGGGACAATGCTACCGAATGACACCGTTAACAAGTCATGTTGAGTTTGGATGCACTTTATCAAATGATATCCTGCGATTTAGTTAGTTTCATTTACTTTGGTTAGTTTAAGCTTAAACAAGCATAAAACAAGCATGGTGTTTGAAACTTATTTCGTTTCGCAAGGAGAAATGTTAAATACAACTGAACAGAACAGAACAATTTGGTGATTGTAAGAATGGTGAATGCATGTTGATGTTATAGCAAGGTGTCTTTCCTATTTGTTTTCCATAAGGTCCGATGTTTCTCTTTCTTTTTTCTTTGGTGGTATTGCCTAATTTAATGTTTTGAAAAGTTTAATTTGCTAAATTAAGAATTAAAAACAAATTGTTTCGTTCTGCATGAGCAAAAAGGTTTTTTTTCCCCTCCTCCTTTTTGAATTTAGAGGTCCAAGGTCACCTAAAGCCACTTTTGAAATACAAATTACTGCTTTATTTATTTAGAAACAGACGTCATTAAATTATATTCTGGTATTTTTATTTTATCTAAAGCAAAGTACAATGCTACTAATATAGCCAACTGTACCGCAGCTGCCAATATTGTAAACTCCGAATGGATGCATGAGATATTCAAAGCAACACAAATTTCTTCAGCCATTTGCAATATAACAAAATTTTAATTTTGAATACAAATGTTTAAATACAATGGTAATGTTTGTGCTTTTTGATTAGGCCTATTTATTATGTGCAACATTTAAATTAATATTCAGAAACAGGTTACATTATAACATTTGTTTTTCTTAGGAACTTTTATTAGCCTGCAAACCAAAATAAAATAGGCCTAGGCTACATGATTATATTCTTTTTTTAATTGGATAGATCTCTGGTATTCTGAATTAACAGGATAGTTTCATTTTTTCATCTGCAGAACAAAACTGTATAAAAACGAATGGCATACAAATAAAAGAAAATCATGTAAAGAATGTTCTAACAAAATTATGAAAGAAAAGATACACGATGTTTGACAGGAAACACATCTCAAGGTCGTATACACAGACTCATTTTGCCACTGAAGCAGGCATCAGCGAACGATAATAAAAAATATTAAGCTAGCCTAATTAAAGTTACAAAAGTTCAGTGAGTGATTAACGTTTTCTATTGTTCTTCTTTGACCAACATTAACTAGGATGGCTTGAGGGTGAGTAAATCATGGTGTAATTAAAATTTTTGGGTGAATCCCTTTAAATATCCCTATAAATAAATGTAATAAATAATAGTTGAAGTGAGACCTAATCCTGGCCTAATCTAAGCATTCACTGACTGTGAAAGCAGACCTAAAACACATACCCCAATCATACAATCTACAATGTCTTGATATAAATTCTGTTGATTCCAGCAACGGGTTTCAATGACTGTCTTAACATTTAAAAACGTCTGTTTTGTTAAATGAAAGCTTGTTCTTTTTTCCACTGTTCACTTTGTACCCCTGTGCAGCAACATACTTAAAAATCATGCACCAGATGTGATGTGTATTGCTGACTCTTTTTGTTTCCACTGGTTACAATAGTGAAGTAGGCTAGTCATAATGAAACTGAAGACACTAGCATACCATTCACACTTCTAAAGTTTGGGGTTGGTAAGACTTGTTTGTGTTTTTTTAAATAAGTGTCTTATGCTCACCAAGTCTCCATTTATTTGATAAAATAAATGGAGTAAAAACAATAAATTAAAAAAATAAATAAATAAAGAGTAAAAGCAGTAATATTATGAAAAATGATTACAATTTAAAATAACCTTCTATATATTTTTTTTTATTGAATTTTCAGCATCATAATTGTTCCAATGTCACATGATCCTTAAGAAATCTTTCAAATATGCTAATTTACTGTTCAAGAGACATTTCTAATTATTAATGTTGAAATTGAAAACTGTTGCAGCTGCATATTTTTATAGAATATTTGTATCTTTGTTAAATAGAAAGCTGAGAAAAAATAGCGGAAATAAATAAGTCTTTTGAAACATTATCAAGTAGTTTACTTTCAAATTAATGCATTCTTGCTGAATAAAAGCAATTTGAATAAAATTAGTTGCTCTTAATTTTTCCAGCAGATTAGCAGCAAACAGAATTCCTGATTTTTTAATGAATAAAAACTATATATATATATATATATATATATATTTATATATATATATATGAATGAATAAATTATAATATAAATAAATTAATTTATATTATAATTATACTATGTATGATTATAATAATTTATATATGTATTTATTTAAATTTTTTCTCCTCTAAATAAAACAATTCACATCTCTGATCAACTGAGATTAGGCTAATCGGAACTCTGGTGTGATACGAGTAGCATACTTCCCCTATATGAAATTAAAATGATTATGATCAAATGTGCACAAAGATCAAATTGTTAAGACGATCCATTCATCAGGCAGACTAGGAAGTGAGAGCGTAAGAGAGGCTAGAGAAAAATCACATGACAACATACGATCCCATCCACTGTTACAATGTTGCGACAGACACAGCCAATTATAGCGAGAAATGCTTCCAAACTAGATATCAACACCCCAGTCCTTTATGATCTGGGTGATTGCTTGCTTACAAAACAAAACTCAACAGCAGCATTACAACCAGAGTAAGAAAAAAGGCAATCATCTGACAACCGATATCTAACGTTGCTCTACCATCTGACCAGGAACTGAACGGGGTTAAAATGAATCATCACTGACAGCGACCTAAGATTACACTTTCTTTGTATTAATCCATCTATTCATACATTACTGTAGTCATCCTGGGTGATTGACACCGGCTTGACAAATGGAAAACGTCATCATATCACCGTTTAGCGTTATTACAAACACTTAGTTCATGCCATTGACGGTAACAATACTAGTGTTCGCGGTTTACAAAATCCAAACCACTTTAGACCTACATATAACAGTTAGAGCATGTTGCCAACAATTTTACAAGCATCACCTCTGGTGAACTACCCCAAAACACCCGAAATAAAACGAAAGACAGCGTCTGTTGTTTCATACACCAACATTAAGAACGCGGCCTAGAAATTATTCAGATTACGCACAGTGACTGTAACTGACTTTGAGTCATTGTGATCTAACGTAACATTCTGTTTATTTCCTCCATCGAATTAAGAGACGAACTATATCGCCAAGATTATAACCAATGTAGACTGTTAGAGAAGGAGCCGTACTTTACAGGGGAGCGTTCAGCTTGTGTGGCGATCGACGCCTTGTCGTCTGCTGTATGTGCTAAGGGCGAGGTAACTACATCACTCGACTGTTTACATTACTACTTATTTTACTCTGGTCAGGGCATGAGTATCTAAATAATTTGTGTAGAGGGTAAAATGCGTTTAGACAGAAAAATGAGCGCTGAAAATGTATGTATATTCGTATAAGTAGGCGCGAACTGGTTATGTAGCTCCACACCAGCTAAGCAAACATCCGTTAGTTAGCTTGTTAGCCTCCCTGACTGAGATGACCATTCATAACCGAATACTCGTTTTATGTTAGCTACATGTGAACGACAGGTCAATTAAAAGGCTTCTGTACAACTTACGTCAGAATGACAAAGCAAAATGTGTCGTTTCGGCAGTATTTACCTTTTGGTGCAGTTTCGCTACAATTTTTTTCCGGTTCTCCTCCTCACCGCTAAAAACAAAATGGCGTCTTTCTCTACTCTGAGGACGGTGGCGTCATGTTTTCCGCCCTCGCGTAAGTGCTGTCCAATCAGATTGTCCAAAGTGTATGCGAAACCACACCCCTTTGCTGTCCTCGTCCAATGACTGCATGGTGGGCGTCAGTGCATTGGGACGCGTGTACAGGCCGCTCTTCCCATGCAAAATGAAGGATGAGTCGACCTGAATATGTTTAACAAATGTATGCTTCTAATGAAAACCTCTTTTTTTCGAACCGCGCTAACCAGAGAGCTGAGTAGATATAAAGTAAAAGGATACAATGGACTGAAGGTTCTGTTGGAGGAGGACTTTATAAATATGACAGGTTAGCTGTTTCGAGGATTGCATCGTCTAACATTAGACATTAACATGTATGAGGTTACCCTCTAGCGGAGATACTACAACGTGTCAGGTGCCAATAGTATGTTTATCTATGAATCATGTGTATCTTGTTGCACTCAATAATGCAATGTAGCAAATGCAAATACTTTAAATGATAAAAAAAAAAATTATTATAATAATATATAATAATAATAATCTAAAAAAAAATCCTTATTTGAAACAAAAAACTGTACTATTAAATATTCTTTACCTCATTTATTTATTTATTAGGCGTTTTTTTCCTAAATTAGCTTATTATATTAGCTTATTAATTCTTGCGCATTTTGTCCTAAATCATGACCTATTTGTCATGAATATGAATAGCCTCAAAAAAAAAAAAAAAAAATCAATAGTCCACCAGATGGTGTAATTCTCATTGATCATCTGAGCTGTACTACATAATTCTGCATATAGACAGAGTATGTTCCAGTCAGCAGAGGGTGCTGCAGATAAGACAAACCAAACAATTGCCCATGCATCCACTGAAGCACAAAGCTACAACTACTAGCAATTCATTGAATATATTTAGCTACTCTTTTTGTTGTTCATGTTTTTATTTATTTATTGTATTTATTTATTTGAACTTGTACTTGGATGGCACATTAAAAAAATAGGTCATTGCTGGACAAGGTCATTCATTATTTGAAAGTACTGTGTGTTAAAATGAAAAGCTGATACCAGGAGAATCTGCCCTTGAATTAATTAAACTGATTATATTAATTTAAATTTTAAATGTTTTTTTTTTTTTTTTTTTTTTTTACAATTTGTAGGCTACCAACAGTAGTGACAAGAAACATGACCAAACAAGGCCTTTTTGAATTCAGACCTGAAAAATCCCTAAAATGTCAAATACATTAATGGACAAATTTTTGGACATATTATTTAAGAAACATAGTAACAGTCCCAAAAGTTTACTTTGTTTTGTGGGTATGAAAAATAACATAATCTAGGACTAACTGCCTGAAATATAAATTAATCTAACAACATTAATATCAGTGGCAGTCTGGTATGCAACGTTTTACTGTCAACAAGATAAACCCATTTTAATTGATTTAATGATTTTAAAGACCTCAAAAACAATTCTGAAATGAACAAATGATCTCTATTAAGAATCCAACACTAATGATAGAAAGATGATTCTCAAATGTATTTACATATTTTCGGAGCAGAGAATGTTTCCTTCAAATTGTTTGGATTGGTCACCACAAGAAGGAAAAGCACCTGACACACCTATGTCATAAAGGTGGGTGTCTTAAACAAAGAAGGTGACATCACAAGGGAAATGCGGAGCCCAGTTGGTCAGTCACTGATGGAGGCAAGAGGAACTGAGATGAAAGATCAGTGATTAGCTCATTGTATCATATGCTTGGTGATGACAGCATCAAAGCCGCCAGTGCATTAATGATGCCGAGGAAATGAGAATGGATCCACAGTTTGTAAACAAGGTGTTGGAATTAAACAAGACAGACACTCATTGTTCCTTTACTGAACTCAAAAGACTTATGTTGAACCGCTTTAAAAGAATAGTATAACAAGCGATGATGACACACAAAATTCTAAATTATTCATCTGACATCAGAGATAACAAGACAACATGAAACCAATAGAAAAGTCACTTTCCTTTTCACTTCATTTCTTAATTTCCTATTTATTTTTATTTGGATTACAAAAGCAGACAAATTATACGTGAATAAGACTTGATAATTATAGGCTATTGAAATGGCTCATTATTAGTTTAACCCCAATTCTTTGCTTTGGTCTTGGATAATGAATTAATTGTCCATCCATGTCTTCCATAAGTGGGAAAAAGTTGTCAGAATCAGCCCTAAGTATAGCCTAAATGTGAACCATTCAGCAGGGAAGCGCACCTGCCAATCTGTAGGGAAATAAGAGTCGTTTCCTTGCATGGCACAATAGGCGGGGTAAATGACTGATGATCCAATAAGTTCGGCGCTCATGCCTCACCCCTCTCAGGACCGCGCCTCCCCAAGGTCTGAAATGAGTTTCTGCCCCTTTAAGAAGTTACTCTGTCCAGCACAGCTGGGATTTCAACAAGGACAGATAGCGCAATGAAGAGCAGCGTCGACCCGTCATCATGTGCACCGGGCTTCCAAGGACTGCCTGTCCGCTGCGACTTATTGCCCTCTGCATCCTTCTCTCCCACGCAGCAGCCTATTTCGGGTCAGCAGAGCCTTTTATATCCTCCATCTTCTCTGAAGTCGTGGAAACAAACTCTGAGTGCATTATTGACATATTTGGCATGGAATAGATTCATTTGATGTGGTGTCAACAGGTGGAGATATTTGGTGATGTTGGAAAGCTATCCCATGCGCAATTACGCATGCCTTATTGTTTTATTATGTTTAACAAACATGTTTTAAACCTAAATTGCAGGTTGTCTGTTACATATGATCACACTATACAGACTGAAATTATTATTTAAAGAATTTGGTATTTTAAAATGTTCTAAAATTAATTATTTAAATAAGAAAACGTTTAGATTGCTCTCAAAAATTGCTGACAGTAACATTATTAGATTTCGTTTTAGCCTATGTGTTTATTTGTTTTTTAACATTTGTCTAAAATAACGAAATAGTGTGTTGTCTGGGCCGATTATGTCCATAGAGAGCAGTGCAGTGTATGGATCCAGATGTCTTCCGATGGTTTGGCACCGCGTCCTGACACTCGCGCCACCTGATCATTAAGATCTTTCTGGCTGACGCTCACAGGACGTTGCCCTACTGGTGTTTATATTAAGAATCATATAAACACGTAAAAACACTCCCCAGTGGGTTTTTAATTAAGAGTGCTTACTGGAGATTGTTAAGCGTTACAGTAGTGTCCAAAATCCAAGGGTGCTCAGACCACTAACCAGGGAAACAGCACGTGTTATGTGCATTCTCTATTCAAACACGACTATTCAAATCAGGTATTTAAACATATATTCAAAGCACGCGTGCCATCGCTAGTGCATTCTAATTTGTTGATTTGCTGCCTTTAGTTCTGATATACAGAAAAATATAACTGAAACTCAGTGGAAACTGAAATGAAAGAAATAACTGTGACAAGCTAAACTAAAACCAAAATATTTTTACAAGATGATTAAATCATTTTACACTATAGCCTATCTTACAGTAAAAAAAATCTTAATTGTATGGACGGTGTGTGTGTGTGTGTGTGTGTGTGAATTGATCAAAATGAACATCCTTAAAAGTAAACGAATATTTCAACTGTACTATTATAGTTTTAGTGACTGTATTGTGCATGTTATCGTTAGGCTTACTGGTCGCGAGCCCTTGGTTTTCCTGCCTGGTCCATTTGCCAACGAGCCTCCGAACGGTAAAGCGCACCTGAAGCAATGCGAGCAGATGACTTTAACGCGCCGGCAAAAGCGATTGTGCCGGCGGGAACCGGGGCTGGCGGAGACTCTGAGGGAATCTGTCCGCCTCAGCCTCCTCGAGTGCCGCTATCAGTTCCGCAACGAGCGCTGGAACTGCAGCATGGATGGCCGTGGAAGCCTTTTAAAACGAGGTAAGATTTGCCAGGTGTTTTAAAATGTATTCTGAATATGTGATTTTAAAATATAATGTTTGTGAAACATGAAACAAATAGTAAAGTGTTATTAACAAAAATTTTCCATCTCAACGGAGGGCAAATGTAAATATTTTAATTTAGGCCTGTTTTATTTGAGCCATGCTTTCGTTCAAGGTCATTACAAGTTGTTGCTAATGGAATTGTTCATCATTTATTTTTCCCATCACAGGGAGTTAATTTTAATACAATTGTTTAGCCACTAAAAACGATAGATAGATAGATAGATAGATAGATAGATAGATAGATAGATAGATAGATAGATAGATAGATAGATAGATAGATAGATAGATAGATAGATAGATAGATAGATAGATAGATAGATAGAAAACAAAATAATGAATAAATTAGGCTAATAATTGATATTTGTTAGTAACATTAGGACTGCTGGGGGGAAAATTAACACACAGTAACTGGGATCAGCTAAAGTAGTTTGCACTTTCAAAAAGGCACAAAAAAGAAACAGCCGAATATTGTGAGTTTAAAACCCACAAAACAAAAATTTACAATTTGTTGATTGGTAGTTTTAAATTAGTAAGTGCTACTTATATGTTTTATAAGGAAATGTTTTAATATTAGCAAGTATGCATGCAGAAACCTCCATGAGGTGCCTGTTTCCAAACGGACATGTGCGTAATGCGCAGGATGTGAATGTTAAAGCCATGCGTAGGTCAGTTGGCTGGTAATTAGGGAGTTGGGAAGCGCGGAATCCCTGTGCGGTGAGGCCTCTCGGGGCCAGTTGAAGTATTTTTATCTCGCGGAAAAGCGCCCTGTTCTCAGAGGAAAAGGGCGGCGTGATCGCGCGCTTTAATCTGACAGAAAACCATAGTCAAAATAATAATTAATTGGATCAAAATACACGCCTTGTCTCAGCTCTGATCTAAGCAAACAATAATGTGAGGATGTTGCGGGGGGTGGGGGGAAGCGGTGCTACACTTAACACTTAATGGGAAAAGATGTGTAGGTTATGATGGATGATTTTTATGTTAGAGAACGCCATTATAGAGGCACGATAAAGGTGGGCTTTTCTTTTTAAATTGCTCAAACTAGATGAACTGAGTTTTAAATAATGAACGTGGTCCTGGAAATTTACTTAAAAAAACACACAAAAAAAAAAAAAAAAAAAAAAAAAACAATCCAATAGCGTATCTCTGTTGTTCTGGACATATTAATTATGGACATTTAGCCTATACTCAATTCCACTTTATAATTGTCAGTTTCCAATGATGTTGTATAAATGCATTATTTGCGATCAAACATGATTGATTTATTCATTTATTCATATTAAATAATTCCAATAAAGTGCTTAGTATTTTATCTTGTCTTAGCTAAGCTCATCATGTCACCCCATGATGCACCCCACTTAATATAAAATCAAACAGCTTTTATTATGCTCGTAATATTGCCATCTCCTATGAATGAAAAATTTTAAATGTACTATTCATTTATTTAAGTGTAAAACCTTTTAATGTGGAGAAAGTACAATACTAATTTAAAGTGGTTTTGCACAGTGCTCATTAATAAATGCATTATTTCATCAGGTTTTAAAGAGACAGCCTTCCTGCTTGCGGTCTCCTCAGCAGCCTTGTCTCACGCGCTGGCCAAAGCGTGCAGTTCTGGACGCATGGAGCGCTGCACCTGCGACGATTCTCCTGGTCTGCAGCACCGCGAGGCTTGGCAGTGGGGCGTATGCGGGGACAATCTGAAATACAGCACCAAGTTCCTCAAGAAGTTCTTGGGGCAAAAACGAGTCAGCAAGGACCTGCGTGCCCAGATAGACTCTCACAACATTAATGTCGGCATCCGGGTAAGATTCAAAATATTGAAAATATCGTCATGGTACTTGGTCCAACTGGTGTTGGCATGGTCAAAAAACAATTGAGTATTTTATTCTTTTTGATAGTGATACAATGGCTTTATGAAATACGGGATCCTTTCAGTCTCCTCCAAACATCTGTAAGGGTTAATTTCTCTCATACCTTCACGTTTTCTCTTGACTGGCGGGTTGCGGTCGCCTAGTTCATCGTAGCCCAAAGGATAGAGTTCAGCGAGTGGGGTGAGGCAGGTAGGTGAGCAGGTATTGGCCAGCTCTCTGGAGCCAGGTGTTCCTTCCCCTGGTCCAGGCATGACAGCGCTTGCTGTGGGGGCCCTTTTCAAAATTAGAGGTCTCCCCATGAGGGCGATTATACAGAGAGGAGGCCTCTGTAATATACGAGCATTTTTTCCACCTACTGTATGCCTCCCGCTCCACCAGTCTCACTGCTGCCGCCGTCGCCGCTGCTCTCCCAGACTTTCATAAATCCTCATAACATCCCTCAAAACAGTCCTGTTACCAGGAGACTGGTAGCCTCAGGGAAAGACAGAGGGAACGAAAAAGGGGGAGGGTTTACGAGGTTCACAGAAAGGGTTAGAAAAGAACGGCTGGACAAACTCGGATCTTATCTTATCTGTCTCCGGTTTTGTTGTTTCCCACAATTGACACCTCAGGCCACAGATGGCGGTTAACAAAAACAAGCAAAGGTGGCTGATGTCTTGTTATCCCCTCCCCTTTCAGATTTTCTCCATTTCCTCGCTTCTCCTTCTCTGTATTTCTCAGGTAGCCCTGGGGTGGGAGCTCATACCTATGTAGGGTGGAACACCCCCATCGACCATTTGACCTCCCCATCTCCCCCTGGGCCCTTTTTGATAGACCTTTCTGTTCTGCAGCCTCCTCCCCAATATGTGAAATGAAGAGAGGGGACTTAATAGGAGAAATAGATAAAGAGTAAACAAGAAAACAATATGATTTGGCTCTCAAACTCAGAGATACAATACATTTGAAATATTGAAAGAGAGGGAGAATGAGAGAGAACAAAAATGGAAATGTGTTGATAGGAGCATAGATCAGGGATGGTGGTCTCCAAGAGGTGCAGGTCAGAGTTGAAAGACGGTCAGCTCAGACATTCCCTCTGCATCCATCATCTACATCTACACCATGTCAACCTGATTTTTTTTTTTTTTTAGCTCAGGGCTATGAAGTCCTTGAGCATTCACTCAATTTCTTGTAAACAACTTGTAAGTTAAGATAGCATGCCGTACCACGTTTAGAAAAGTCTATGATATAGACTACCAATATATAGAATACCAATATATTAATGTGACTCCCTAAGTGGTTTTGGACTCCATTGTCCACAACAACATTCCCAATTTTCCCCATGACTTTTTTAGTTTTCTTGATTTACTGGATAAGCATTGAGGAGAACGTTTTTTTTTTAATCTTGTCTAAAGCAACATCAACAACAACCAATGTCTCCCCATGGGGCGGCAGTGGCTCAGTGGTTCATGTAGTTTGCCCGGAAGGTTGGTGGTTCAATTCCCGGTTCCACCTGACCAAGTGTCGCGGTGTCCATGAGCAAGACACCTAACCCCAGCTGCTCCCGACGAGCTGGATGGTACCTTGCATGGCTGACACTGCCGTCGGTGTATGAATGAGTGAGTGAATGTTAAGGAAAAATGTAAAGTGCTTTGGTGGCCATTGAGTCTGTGAAAGAATTATATAAATGCAGTCCATTTACCATAACCATCTCACGGGAATTCGTACGAATTATACGAGGTGGCTAATTCGTAACAATTCATACGACCTCACTCGTACAAATTAGTACGATTATGCTAAATCGTACATATTTTACAAATTGGCCAATTCGTATGAATTAGTACGAATGACCTACCCCTGACCCCGCCCCTAAACCTAACCATCACGTGGGTTTAGACAAATCGTATGAATTCGTAGTGAGGTCGTACGAATTAGTACAAATTAGCCACTTTTTAATCACTCGTACAAATTTGTACGAATTGGTCGTGAGATGCACTCTCAGAAAAAAAGGTACAAAAGCTGTCATTGGGGCTGTACCTTTTCAAAAGGTACACTTTTGTACCCAAAGGCTACATATTGGTACCTTAGTGGTACATTTAAGCACCTAAAATGTATATATTAACACCTAAAATTAGTACCTAAAATGTACATATCAGCACCTAAAATGTACTTAGCTCCTGAAATGTACATATTAACACTTAAAATGTACATATTACCACTTAAAATATACATATTAGGACCTAAAATGTACATATTAGGATCTAAAATGAACATATTAGGACCTAAAATGGACATGTTTGCGCCTAAAATGTACATATTAGGACATAAAATGTACACATTAACAACTAAAATATACTTTTTAGCACCTAAAATGTACATATTAGCACCTAAAATGTACATATTAACAACTAAAATGTACATATTAGCACCTAAAATGGACAAAAGTTTACCTTTTGAAAAGGTACAGCCCCAGTGACAACTTACCTTTTTTTATGAGAGTGTAGGGTAAGGATTGGCACGTTTCATTGTACAAAAAAATTAGCTACAATCACGGAACTATTAATAGTTCTATAGGAATAAATTGTTTTAAAGTCTTCTTTACCTCCAAATATTCACAGGGAAAGGGTCTCAGCCAATCAAAAAGCGGAACCAACTTTCAGCATCCCATATCTAATCTTTATATAAATCCTCTCTTTCTTCTCATTTTCACAGGATCGTAGCGTTGTATTTGGCATACTATATTCATGTCTCTACCTCTGTCTTTCTTTACCTCTCAGGCGGTGAAGAGTGGACTTAAGACTACTTGTAAGTGTCACGGCGTCTCCGGTTCGTGTGCTGTGAGGACTTGCTGGAAGCAGCTCTCCCCGTTTCAAGACACAGGCCATCTGCTGAAGTACCGCTATGACACGGCCGTTCGAGTGCACAGCGTCACTAACTCCGCCACGGGGGAGACGGAGCTGGCGAGCCCTCGTCGCCACAGCAGCACGGTTCCCCGTCCGCGGCCCACTGAGCTGGTATTTCTGGAGGAGTCGCCCAGCTTCTGCAGGCCATCACGCTACTCGCCAGGGACGGCTGGCAGAACGTGCTCCAAGGACACCAGCTGCAGCAGCCTGTGCTGTGGACGAGGCTACAACACGGCCCTCCACCTCACCACCCTCTCCTGCCACTGCCAGGTCCGCTGGTGCTGTCACGTCGAGTGTCAAACCTGCCTCCGAGAGGAGGAGGTCTACACCTGCAAGAAACATTGACAGACCATGCAAGAAGGAGACTGAGAAGCAGAAAGTGAGGAAGGTTGAGGATCTACTAGTCAACTAATGAGAGATTTGGAAGTGCTTGGATGTTGTGATCCATGTTGTGCTAAGGGGACATTTTAAGATCGTACCTGATTCAGAATGGCTAAGATGAGATGGCTAAATGGACGAGCGTCTGGGCTCCCACATGGAGTTCCTAACTAAAGTTCGGGAGGAACATTTTCATTTAATCTGACCAATCAGCACCTGAACAAGAGTATACAAACAGTTCTTCTACAAAATCGAAGTGGAGGTTTGAAATTTGAATTGAACCAGTCTTCTCTTTTCTTCTACAGAGATAAACCAACCTCTCTGGGAAGCCTGCTTTTTGAACAGTCTGTGTTGCACACACGCTTATGTCAATGGACTAGTGATCTGCGACTTTCAATTATACTCAAACGAATAAGTGAGATGGCAGTCTGCTCACTTATAATTCTGACTGCTTGTCTCTCTACCTGCCTATACTGTATATCTCTCTATTGCTCTGAGAGTCCACATATGGCTTCAAAATATACTGAAAGTATGAAGCACTTATGAATGCATTTATTTGTGAATATTATTGTAGTCTTTTGTTTGTGAGAAAGAAAGTACCATGTGTCTTTTATGATAGTTGTGTTGTCATGCTTCACAGATATATTACAAATGGGTGGGGTGGGGGGTGGGGTTATGGTGATAAACTGGAAATTTACTTGGACACAGTCTGCTTTCATAGACTTTTAATGAATGTTAGAGTTGTATAATCAGAAATGTTATGTTTTAACTCTTGAATGGCCATTAAATGGCTGTATCTGGTATAGGAATGTATTTATTGCAATTAGACAAAACCGATCAACTGCTGTACCAAGTTCAAGTACACTTACTACATTACATTCATGCAATTACACTTTTTTTAGTTGAATTTTTACACATTGCTGCATGATATCCTGCTTAGAATGTCAAAAACGCATGCATTAGGGATCGACCTTAACAATGTGTGTCATTACAGCATGACCCAAACATAACCTCTCCCTACAGCTGCATACAGTATGTGCAAACATCTGGGCTGCTGAGTGTGTGTAGTCTTTGCTATCCCATCAAGGGCAATGATAGTGAGTATGTCCCATCCAGAACAAAGGAAAACATCTCCTTCCCTAGTAAGCAAAGCTCTCTGCCCTATAAGGTCTGCAAGCTCTTTCATGTGTGTGAAGCCTTTGATAAAGCCCATTCCAGTCCCGTATTAGCCCATTACCAATCAGAGAAAATAACAGTGCTTTTTCACCATAATGTGCCTGAGTCGAAAGTTTGCTGGATTCCCAATAGAGAGGCCTTTGTTATAGAGATTTTTTAATTCCTTGTAAGCAACAACCTTTTTTTAGATACAAAAAAAACATGTTTTTACACAAATTGCTAATTATATTGTGAAAGAGACCAAATGTGAGTAATAATTAAAAAACAAAAAAAAAACAGTTGTATTGGTGCACTGCACAAAGGCACATTTTAACCTTCAGATGTAAAGTATTACTCGAAGATATTGTCTGTTAAAACATCATATGCTTTTCTTCACTTAACAATAGAAATCTGAATTGAAAGTATGAGAATGTGAGCTTGTACGTGCCTACTTGTATGTACGTGTGTGTGTGTGTGAGTGTGTGCATGGTTTTTCTGGGAAGGGAGAAAAATGCAGTAAAATTGGCCACATCAATCAAGTGCAAGAAAGTCGAAGCATTCAGTGACATGCCATTCGGGTGAAGCGTTTGTAATGTGTAAAACATTTACTGTAAAAGGGTTTCACTCTGACTACTTGAAATTCATATGCATATTGTATGAAATTTTTGACCAGTAATCGATCCATTTTCTATGAAAGAGACTAAAGAAAGAGAGTTTTCACACTGAGTCAGCATATGCAAATACCTGAAACCCCAACAGTGGCCGTGAAAATTCAAATGAGATTGTTCCCTTCTGAGTGTATGTGCATGCGAGTGTCATGCCTATGTTTCTCTGCTGCAATTGCTGAAATGACAACATTTATAGCATTGACATCCATAATGAAACCTCTGTCAACCCGGAGTCTATGTGTTTGTTTGTGTTGTCATAGCTTTAACAGTGTACTTTGTGATTTCACACCAGGGATTTTTTCTACTACCTCACCTGGTCTATGAGGGAAATTAAATAGTGAGATGTTTTTTTTTTTTTTCTTATTAGATATTTAAGACAATGCTTCTTTTAAAAGCTTCAATGCATTTACTCCTATTTTAAAATATTGTGACCTATTTACTTATTTAAGAACAAATTTATCATATTCAAATAAAATAATACATTTGTAAAAATGGTGTATGACATTTATCAACAGATTTATCTCTTCAACTTAAATTTTAAAACACAGATTTCCTTTCTGTCTCTTGCTTTCTGTCTTTCTCTTTCTGTGTTTGTGGTCGCACACCTGTCCAGAGCTCTGCACGCAAGCACCTGCTCTCTAGTTAAATCACAGCTAATCAGGCAGCTGATGGATCCTGACCTGCAGTATTTTCCTGTCACTACTCTCAACCAGAGCCTCATTCTCATTTCACTCACCCAAAACATATACAAATAGTTGAGTTTGCACATGATGATTTACCACACTACATGCACACCCACACAAAAACCTAAATAATGGACATGGGGAATCTGGCAGGAGCCAAGTTAGAGTCTTGACCTCGTAGTTTATTTGCTTTCATAATGGCTTTTTCCAGTAAACTTTATGAAACAATTGCTGTTTTTAATATCTGAGCTTAAAGAATAATCAAACTGGCTCACCTCAACGGTCCTCCATGCCTCTCATAGAGTAGTTAATGGGGTTGTTTACCCCAAAATGAAAAAAATTGTCATCAATCACTCACTCGCTCCAAACCCGTAAGTCTTTCGTTCATCTTTGAAAGTACAAATTAAGATATCTTAAATTAAATCTGAGAGATTTCTGTCCCTATATTTACAGCTACACAACTACCTCTTTCATAAAGTTCATAAAGAGGTCACAAAACAAATTCATATGATTAAATGTTTAGTCCAAATTACCTCTAGTGATTCGATCGCTTTATATGAACAGATTGAATTTGGGCTTTTATTCGCATATAAACATTGATCAACAACAGAAGCTCAACAGTACATGTTTGATTGCGGAAGCTCTAATGTTCTGTGTAACACACGAGAATTAGCCTCATTGGTTTTTCACACGTCAAGCAAACATGCTTGAGCTTCCATTTACCATATCTGATGTGTGCTGTCTCTCACATGAGATCCCAGCAATAGCAAACCACAACCACCCAACCATACATACAATCAATTCCCAATTAACAAATAAAGTCCTGCCCTACATTTTTTCTAGTTTGAAAAGCCGTTTCACTCAGATATACCTCAAAACAGGGAAAAAACTATTGCAACTTCTGGATGTTTTGTACATCCTTTAATATTCCTTAACTCTCAAATGCAGTATTAGGCATGCAAATCATTCTAGTGAATCAGTTCATGGTCTACTCTCATTTGAAGCCTGGGAAGTCTGACTCATTGGTTCATGCTAAATGGTCCTTACTTTGGGAAGGGAATTGGTTTATGAACAATGATCCTTACTCTCATAAAGCATTGGTAAGTCCACATTTATTCTAGTAAATCAGTTCATTCTAAAGGGTCCTTACTCTGATAAGATTTACCATTTCTTATCCCTGTCCTAGGTATGTTTTCAACTCAGATTTGTGAATTATGGTGTTTTGTCGTATTCCAACACATTCTCATGCCAAGACCCTTTAACGTCAGTTAGATGACGATCGGCGTCAGTTATCTGACGCGGATAGGTTTAGTTCTGGGGTAGGGTTAGGATTAGATAGCGTCATCTAACTGAGGGTACCCTAAAATGTCGGATGTTGACGTATGGTCGTATTCAGTATAAATTTCGGTACTGACAGACTAAATGAAATTGTTTATTGATTGTAACCCTTCATTGTTTTTTATTGAGACCAAAATTATTAAATGTTTTGATACTTTTATTTATTAATTATAAAAGCAAATCTCTACTTTTTTGTTGTAGAGCAGCTAACTCTTCAAAACAGTAGTTTGACCACAGTGAATATTTTCACAGAGCTGGAATGACCATCATTCATGAAGTTCAACACCTTAATGTTAATTTATTAAAGCTAAATATTCTGGCTAAAATGTCTCCAGATACTATCTGGGTCTGGTGACATTCATAAGGTGACTCATCATGGAACTAATGCACACATACTTAGCACTTTATTGTCTGAACATTAAAGCATGCGTGTATTGCTGTGTTTGATGTGTGTAGAGGTAATAGCCCTAATTAGAGTCTCTCATTCTCTGTTAAGACGTAATGAGAATAATAATTGTGCCCCATCAAACAGATCTGTGCTTTCACTGTCTGCCCAGATCCTCAACCCAGACCTCGTCTAATGACTGTTTATCAGTACTTACCTTTATTAAAGACACACAGAAAAGGTTGGATGTGAAGCAGGCCAGAGAATTCATGTTTACAAGTCAACAGCCACGTCATGTGGCGGCTTTGTGAATAAAAGCTGAATCGGTACTAAACCAAAGTCTAAAAACAGTTAACTTAAGCCTCGTTGACTACATTTAAGCACACACACACAGATGCACGCATGCTTCAACAAAGGAATTTCTATCCCTTGGGGCATGTCAAGGAGAGAAAGGTAAAGTTCAGACAGAAGGGAGGGATAAAGAGTGAGTGAGTGAGTGAGTGAGTGAGCATATGGATGAATAAGTGAAAAATGTGCAGCAGAGAGATGGCTAATGTGAATAAGTTAATGTTTGACATTGATTTCACACAGAAGCAAGCAAACTGCAGATGAATATGCTGCTTTTGAACCGCAGGGGGTCTGTGAGGGATGATACAGCACTAGTTTAATAATGAATCCTAAAGCCTTCATTTCCCCAAAGCCTAGCATCCACAGCCTTCTTCTCACGCACACATCCCCCAGAGAGGCTGCGACGGGGGAGAGAGTGTGTGTGTTCCTCAATGACTGGCTTTGATTTGTCTATCTTTTTTTATCCTTATGATTGTTTCTTTTCATTTGCATATGCAAGTGTGGTTATCTTTTTGTTGCTGTATATTCAAATATTCAATATTCCAGCGTGTTTAACTTATCAGAATGTGTGAGTGAGGTGTGTTTGGTCAGGGAGGTCAAGCAGGTAGGTCTGTTACCCTCTGGGGACGGGACACTTTATCTGCCATCTTCAGTCTGGACGGAAAACAGACACACTTAGCATAAAAATACCAGGCTCTTTGATAATTTGGAAGTAAATTAAATCTCAAGATGAAACCATGGGTCAGCCTGTACACGATCAGCTGATTATATTTAGGAGCCATTTTGTTTTGTGATTTTGGAACACATTTACATTTTGAGAAATGTTACGATGAAAGTCAAATCAAAACAAAAATAACTTTTATTTGTATGGACAAAATCTTAAAATGTTGTGTTCCCCAGAGTGAAAGTCATACAGGTTTTGGATGACATGAGGGCGAGTAAAGGATGACAGAATTGTCATTTTTGGGTGAACAATCCAAGTAGGTCATGTATAGTAAAATATTTCATAAATATTATTTTCTGTTGCTTAGCAAATGTCCTTTATGCATAATGGCTTACATAGTTTTACATTGATTACTGGTTTATGCGTTACCTATTGGAACAAACAATGCTGCTTTGCTCCTTTGCCTTGAGCAAGAACACATTTCTATGAATTTGCTACCTTATGTTTAGCTATGCACCCTACAATATCATCATATAAAATATCAAAGGAAAGAAAAAAAGATAATTGCAGAGGATCAGAAGAGTGTTTTCATTTGAAAAGATAGGGAGCAATGTAATAAAAAAGTATTGCCTTCAAAAAATTGTGAGTGAGAGGGGGTTCTAGAGAGAGAGGTGGACGATGGCACAGGGTAGGAATTTGGAATGTGAAATGAGTAATGTTATTGCTCAACCCACATCACAAAGCCACAGTGCCTGGAGCTATGACAAGCTGTGTGCATATCTCCTTTTCTCCATCGTTTCATTCCACCATCTCTCTGTACTTTTTATATTCTTTATCCTTCCAACTGTCCATAATTATATTGTATCGGTTTTAAGATTTAATCTCTTATATCTGCCGATATAATAAGGCAGGTAAGGGAATCGGTCCATAGAGCACGTTACTGGGTGAAACAAAGCCGCGACGTTCAAAGAGCACTAATATACAATCCAACAGCAGCCCTGGAACTTTTCACTGTTTGTATCACTCCGCTTGTCCATGTTTGTTCAAGACAGACTATTAGTTTCTGTATTTTAGTGGTGTAGACTTGATTGTTTTTGTAATTCCAGTAGGTGCTGCCAAATGACTTTATGAGTGATTCATTTAAATCATTCACTCAACCGATTTTTTCAAAGCACTGATTCATTCAGGAAGAGCACACAACGCATTCTCATCCTATATGACAA